AAATTTTCTAGAAGTCTACAGGAGGAGCAATAGAAGTTTTTACAGGTAGCACTAAGTGTGGCCTTTATAAATAGACTCGGGTTCCCAAATGCTAGTAAATAGCAGTTTCTTAATTTTCACTAATATTTTTAAGTTTAAAGAACACAAAATTACCAGTACCGTGTCATGGCAATTGAGACACGGCCATGATTAATTCTCTTGCTAAATCTATAGAAAGCTGTTTGGTTGTGTGAATAAAATGAGAAATCACTATATTTTCATGGAAATAAATTCAACAGTCATTTTTACACAAACAGCAAAAATATGGAAGAAAGCTCATTTACCATAAATGAGTTCTTATAAAAATAAAAACCATCTATACACATAACCTCATAAACAAACAGAACAACGAAGTCTAACATTGTGTTTTCTGAATCTGCTCCTTTCAAATGTCCTTTGTTTCCATTTTTGAGGCAGATTAGGTGGAGCAGAAAGCCAAGACTTCTTTCAGGAGTGGGACAGGGTGGGACGGGGTGAAACGAAGTACACTCAAGCATCTTCTGTCCACTCTGCCTTCCTCATTCTGTCCTTTCCCCACCCTCTTTCCTTCCTCCATTCCTTCCTTCTTCTTTACTTCACACTGTCTGCAAATGCTGAAAGAATCAAGCCTTCGGGCATACCTTCAGGTGCCCTGGAGGCCTGGCCCTACCATAGGGAACACCACAGGAGGGCCTACTCAGAGAATCTCTCCCAGCTCTGAGCTGTGCACAGTGGCTTCTGAACTCAGCATTCTCCTTCCCTGCTTCAGTGTGATGAAGGTATCAAGCCCTGGCTGAGGGCAAAAGAGCATCTCTGAGGGGAAGTCATGGCATGACCCTGGAGTGGCCCTGTCCACACAGGCCTGAGAGCTTCCTGAGTTGGAGGTGATGGGTGGGCCGGATTTTAGTTGTTACCAATACTTCAACAAGGAGCCTTCATTATTTTGACTGTTTATAGCAAACATGTAAGTCTCTTGACTCAGAATACAGAAAACATGTATTCTGTTTGTTCTATTGAGGGCTGGAATGAATGCCAGCCTGTCTTTTGAAGTTTGACGGGACGTAGTAGAAATTCTGTGACAACGTTGCCAAAAGTGTGTCAGCACAGGCACCACTGAGGGGGAGGATGATTTTAGGTGGGTGCTATGTGGACAAAATTTTATTTCAAGTCAGAACTTATTTTAATGAGTTAAAAAATAAACAGCATGTCAAACCCATGATTTCACCAGATATATTACTTAGCATGAGGAGAAGTTAAAAAGAAAAGACATATTAATACCAGTTTAAATTAAAATATGGGGACTGGCCAGTTAGCTCAGTTGGTTAGGATGCAGCCTTATAATCCCAAGGTCATGAGTTTGAATCCCTGTACCAGTTGCCAAAAAAGGAAAAGAAGTAAAATATTAAGCAAATAAGAGTATCAGTAGTGAGCAGTGATTGCAAAATTTAAGAAGCAATGATCTATAGGCTTCATACTGAGCTGTCCCCTCTCCTCTCTCCTAGGAGCTCCTTCCTAACCTCCACCCCTTCTCATGAATCCCTTGAGCTTGAACTGAAACATGACCTACACCATCCCCTAAAAGCACAGCCCACCCCTCCTCTGAAATACAGGCTACTGTCCCACTAGTCATCCACCTAACACGCATGCCAATCCCTTCCTGACAAAGTCCAAGCCCAGATGCCACAGGGCATGTTGGGCATGTCCAATAAGGTGCAGGCCTGTTTCAAGTTCTGCCTGTCCAGTGTGCACCACCTACATTGGCCTTGATCTTGGAGGCTGGGGGATCTCTTGAGACTGAAAGATGGAGGACGTTCTTGACTGTGCTCCTTTGACTCTGGGGACAGGAGTTGGGCATGGGGCTGGCCGTGTGCAATCAATACAAGCCCCGGTCATATAGGTGCTCACGAGAACCAGCTTTGAAAGCCAGGGTCAAGGACGCAATATCTGGTAGAAATGTATAGCAGGGTAAATTAATAATGCTTCTGCCCTGATCCGCATGCTTTAAAATGTATACCTTAATTACATGATACAATCTTTTGATGAGTTGAATAAAGTGACTGCCAAAAAGGGGTCATCATTTCTGGATGATGCTCCCCAACATTTAGCCAGTTTATGGTCAATAATCCCATCTAGCAAGTTAACTCAGTTACCTAATTACATGTTTTACTCCTAGTTTACCTTGAAGAATATACCAAGAGGTTTCATGGTTCAAG